TACCTTCTCCGCCTTCCTTTTCTATACCAAGGACCTGTTTTATGGCTTGCTTCGTATCTGCTGCTATCGATTTCCCAAAGATAATAGATGATTTCATGGGGTTTATCATCTGGCCAGAAGCATCTCCATAAACTTTCAGACCTCTCACAATTGCTTCACTATCCCTAACTGAAGCTTCACATAACAACAAGCTATCATCGGCGAATAATAAATGATGCACCGAGGGACTATCTTTAGCCAACTTTATACCATGTAATTCCCCTTTTGCCTCAGTTCTATTTAACACGTGAACTAAAGCTTCCGCACATAAAATGAACAGAAAAGGAGATAAGGGATATAGCTAGTATTCGTTTTTGAATTTTTTTAAAATTGTGGAGCTATGATGGTGGTAAGGATGATGAAAGAAATCATTCGGATTCCCATTGATTCCCCTATAGTGATGCAAGAAAATATTTGCTACTCTTGATGAAGTACAATACGTTGTTTTTCAACTGATGACCGGATAACCACTAAGATCTCTGAGGCCTTATATTTTTTACTCTAAAACTAATTTTAATTAGTATGTTTTTCTTCTTCTTAAACATACCTTTTGTGATTGTTCAGACGCTTAATTTAATCAGTTCTGTTAGATTGGATTCAAATATGAATGAACCGAAACATAAAATATACAAAAACGCAACTATATTTAGGTGAAATCGTTCAAAAACCGTCTTAGGCCCCATAATTCTCAGAACCGGCCCTGGGTGATGGTCAATGTTGATTTCAATAACTTAGACCAAACAGTTTGGCCCATGCAAGTAAACGGAGCCAAATTGTTAACTCAGCAAGACCACACCAGAAGTGAACCAAGCTGCACTGTTAGAAGCAAACACTGCAACTAAAACAAACTCACGAGCGAAACGAACTATAAGGATTAAATTTAAATCACAAGTCGGGTTAATCTATACTATTAAAGCAGAATTCCTCTAAAGATTCTGCCATTGGTTTTTTTATTTACAATTGTATGCCATTAACATTTAATTTAAATTTTGGTATTGTTTTTTTGAACAAATCAAACTAATATTTCCATTAATGCAAGAGATTTTCGAAACCATATTCCCCTAATTACTCTTATTAACTTTCCATTTTATATATTAAAATATCTTACACAAAGATATTTA